TGAGGACCTTAAGACGAACAACGGGGGCTCCAGATCATATATGGCATCAGTATTCCATGCAAAGGCCAATGGCTGATTTATAGATTTGAAGGATGGACTCGGGCGAGAAAAACTTTCTGGCGCGACACAGAGAACCAACTTTCCTTGCGGTAGATGAAGCTATTGATTCAATATATTTGTTCCATCTCAGGTCAGCGGACAGTGTGAGACCAAGCAGTCGCAGAGCTGTGCTCTCGTGGAGTTGAGCATCAGACATTCTAATGGGAGGCAGGGAGGGTTCTCTGTGGTGGGTTAAAGAGAGCAGTTTTGTTTTTGAGGCATTAAAGTTAACCAGACATTTTCTACTCCAGTCAACAACCGATTGGAGGTCCTTTTCGAGACCAACGGCCAGGTTATTTTTGTCATCGATACCAGATTTGCTATTGAGTTAGGAATAAATAGTGGTGTCGTCTGCATAGATGCCTACTTGGGAACTGATGACATCGGGAAGATACGGAACAGTGTAGGACCCAGGATAGAGCCTTGGGGAACACCTGCGTTCGTGAGAAAGGAACTGGAGGAGAATCCGTTAAGGACGACCTTCATTACACGGTTTGACAGGAATGATTGTATTAAGTCAAATAATCGTCCTGAAATTCCGTATCCCTGAAGCTTACGAAGAAGGCCGGCATGCCAAACCCTATCAAACGCTTTAGAGATATCTAGAGCCACGGCACGAGCTTCTCCGTTATTGTGAAGTGCTTGGTAAACAAATTCAGTTATGGCCGTGAGCACATCAGCTGTAGATCGGGCAAAGCGGAAACCATATTGCTTGTCAGAGAGCAGATCATGGGATATAAGGTGCTTAACCACTTCGGCGTTGATTAAAGCTTCAAAGACTTTGCCGAAGAGTGGTAGGAGACTGATAGGACGGTAGTTAGATGGGTCAGAAGGGTCTCCAGAGTTCTTAAAGACAGGTACAACAGATGAGGACTTCCAACAGGCTGGAAAGCAAGAGTCGTTGAGGCAGTAGTTATATAGTTTGGAGAGGACAGGAGCCAGTTCAGGAGCACATTTCTTCAGGACAACGGCTGGTATCCCGTCCCCACCGCTAGCCTTATGGGAGTCTAATTTAGAGACGATGCCCAATACCATCGATGGGGTTATGTGCAACTCGCTCAATAGAGCCTCAGTTCTAGGAGGGAAATCGGGTGTGGGTACACCGGATGAGTCGAGCGTTGAATTGGATGAGAATTTCCGAGCAAAGCACTCAGCCTTATCAGCTGAGGAAGTCAGGACCTCAAATTTGTTGAATAAAGGAGGTATTGTGGGTTTGCTGTTGTTTAGTACGCTCTTGCAGAGACGCCAATAATCTTTGGAACCGAATTTGCGAGATGCAATACGTTGTTTCATTCTATCAGCAAATAGTGATTTTGCTTCATTGAGGACACGCTTGCACTCATTACGGGCTGAGACAAAGAGACGTCTGTTGCAATCTGACATGTCACTATGGTACAGGCGGAAGAAGTGATTCCTATGGACAATGGCAGCTGAGCAAGCAGCAGAGAACCAAGAGGATGAGCGCGATTTAACCTTATATTTCCTTGCGGGGATGAAAGCCTCGATTCCAGCTTTTACCCAGGAGGAAACCTCAGAAGCGCATTTTTGAACGGGGAGATTAAAGACCACATTCCAGGGGACATTGCGAAGGAAATCACAGAATGAGTCACAGTCTGCTCGTTGATAACAGAAAGATGTTCTGTTGGTAGGAGGTTCTTTGCTGGGGGTGGAGTAGAAGGAGATGTTAACAGACACTACAGCATGATCGGAGTTGCCAAGAGGGCAGAGCTGTGTGGCACAACAAAACTCGGGATGGGGGTGAAACAGATCGAGAAGGAAAGCCTTACCATCCTGGTTATTGGGGAAATGTGTAGGAAAGTCAACCATTTGTGTGAGGGATTGACTAATTGAAAAGTTAAGGGTTTGTATGCCAGCAAGGTCAGTTATAGAGTTTTTAAGCCACTTGGTATGGTGGGTGTTAAAGTCACCGAACACGAATATATGTGCAAACGGATGAAGAGAGATAGCCTTGTCTATATTGTCGGAAATGCTATCAAGTACACCACGGTCTTGGGAGGATGAAGAGCGATAGAGGAAGAAGAGGTAGCTTACAGCATTGAGGAGAGATAGACGGAGACACATGTATGAATGTCTGGAGATTCGAGAGAAAGCTCCCTAGCTAGTGGGAGATGGTCCTTGACGTAAACTCTAATACTATGCATATGGGTTTGAGAGTCTTTTCTAAAGAGAGGAATCTAACCGGGGATTGAGAAGTCAGAGGAAGGAATAAACGAGTTGAGGTTGGTTGGTCTCGCAGAATATCAGGAGACTTGAAGAAGGGATTTCACACTTCAGGAGTTGCCACGGGTGTTAGAAAAGGAAATGTTAAAGGGTTTAGGTGATTTATTTAGAGCTGATTTAGGATTACTTTTTTGATCGTTTGTTATGTTGGGTAATGTTGGTAGTGAAAATGAGAAGGCCTGTAGCAGACGGTTATCGTATGTGATATGGGCAGAAAGGAGCTGGCGCAGCCTGCAACATAATGCGGCCTTAGTGTTGCGTGCAGGGACACCCTTCCATGTGCGACATGGGACTACAGGCGCTCCGATATTATACAACTGTCAATCAGAGCGGCCGCTAACTACCAATCGGGAACAGCAACCAGAAAACGTGAAAATTATTCATGTGCAGACGATCTGATTGGTTAGCATAGACCAATCAGCGAGCGAGCTTTGGGGAGACTTAAGAAAGCTTCTGTGATCCGTTTCTCCCAAAAGTGCACAAAACTGATTGCTTAAAAATAGAGCGATTACAAAATTGTCGCATTGCTGCAATTTGTAAATTGTCTATAATAATGTAGTAGTGATTAATTAACCAATGAATGCTTGGCGTTGTATATGATTTGTATTTGTATGTATGCATGTATGTATTTTTGCGCGTGATAGACTCGCATAATACCCCACCGGAGATTAAAGGAATTATAACAAAATTCTTTAATATATAACGTAGGAGCGATACTTAAAAGGCCAATACACCCTCCTATCTGTTTTGGTAAGCAGTGGTTCTGATTGTGAAGTGGACTGCTGACTTTGGTTTGATGATGATGATGATGCTATTTGCTGCGGAATGTTGGATTGCTGTCGGTCCGGATGAAGTTGTTTGGCAGCTTGCTCAAGATATGCCGGCTTCAGACGGTCAATAGCGATGTTCGCCTGGACATTGTATATCGGAATGATAAAATACTTTGGTTGTCGTGAAAGTACTTTAAAAGGTCCTGAGGTAAGCGTTTTTTTTTGTTTTTTTTTTTTTACCGCGTCTTGTCTAACGAAGACGTAGTCGCAGTCTTGTAAAGATTTGGGAAGTTTGGTCTATAGAAGTGTTTCTCTCTAAAAATTGACCTCGTGACGTAAGCGATGTACCAAAAAACAAGATCTGCAGGAATGCATTGAAGATCTTCCTTCATTAGGGTTCGTAATGAAAGTATTACTAACGGTAATTTCTCCAGCCAAGTTTGGGCAGTGTCAGAACTTGTTAATGCGGCTTTAAGTTGACGGTGGAACCTCTCGACAAGGCCATTTGCACAAGGGTGGTATGCAGTTGTCGATATATGGGTAGCTCCAAGCAAGTTCACGAATTCCTTGAATAATGTCGACTGGAACTGTGGACCACAGTCTGTCGTTATAACCGAAGGGCAGCCGAAAATGGAAATCCATTCCCGCAATATTGCCTTAGCAACAGATTCTGCTGTGGTGGACTGAAGAGGTATGGCTACTGGCCAACGAATAAATCTGTCAATTATCGTTAAGATGTATTGATAGCCGTGAATTTCGACCCACTAAGTCCACATGAAGATGCTGAAAGCAGCCATCAGGTCCTGCGAATCGTCTCGGCGGTGATTTAACCTGTCGGTGTACTTTAGTTCTCTGGCATCTGACACAACTCTGGGTCCAGCGTTTAATGTCGGAAATCTTAGTAGGCCAAACGAAACGTTCACCTATTAACTTCGTTGTAATCCGCCGTCCATGATGTGATAGTGAGTGGTAGTGGTCGAATATCTTCCTTCTCATGGAAGAAGAAACCAAAGGTCGGGGGTGACCTGTACTGGTGTCACATAATAAATGCTTACTGCTGAAGGGCACGGGACGTGGCTCAATCCGTAAAGATGTATCTTTTTTAGGTCGTACAATGCCGAGATCTAACATGTGCTGAAATTCAGCCTTCACTAGTTTGTATTTATCCGGGCTTAATCTGTGAGGGGATGAGAAAACAGGATGTCCGGATGTCTGAATCCGATGTACAGTGTTATGTTTGACGGACTCCGTATAAGTGAAAGGTGTTGTAAGCGCAGGTAATTTATCTAAAACGTGCTGTAGCGGGTTGTTTTCAGGAAGTGCAGCACAGATTTTAGTGGAGGTATATGTGGAAATCATGCCTGTAAGCGTTAGTTGCGTCCTCTGGTCTATTAGGGTGTGGGTAAACATGTCCACGGCGAGCTTGTAATGGGCTAAGAAGTTGGTACCGTTTGCTGCACGCAGGGTATATGCTGATTCGCTCGTTGTGGTGTTAGCTCTCGGTGGGACTACACTGACCTGGGCTCCAGTGTCCACCAAAAATAACTCGCCTGAGTTAGTATGCTTAACGTAACAGAGACGGTTAACTCGATTTCCCCCAACAGCAAACGCCGTCTTCATGCACTGTTGGGGTCGCCTTTCCCGCTTGTTTTTTAGTAGTAGATGTTGGTTGACCGTTGAAATGGCAGGGATTTGCACAATGTCTCGTTGCTTGTTCAAACTTTTGGTGGTACCAGCAAATACCAGTGTTTGGTTTACTCCTGGTGTTCGAGTTAGTTCTGCTATGGTGTCGAGACATTTATGCGCTGTATGCTGGACGCGAATGCACTCAGTCGCTCCAGTTGCATTGGACAATTTTCGATCTGCTGCTGCATCTTCTTTAGCGTATCGTCACGTGGTGTCCGCCGAAGAAATATGGGTGCTATTGAGGGTCCTTGGCTCCACGATTCTATCGTCTATTGCAGCCAATCGTAGTATGTCAAAGTCCTCAGAAAGCGTTGCCAAAATCTGCGCGGTGTGGGTTGGCAGCTTGTCTAGCCGGAGTTTCTGTAGCAAGGTCTCTGACATGGTGTTGTTACCCAGAAGGTTTTTCATCGTCCGAAGAAGTTGGTTTGTTCTGGTCAAGTTGAATCGTGTTGAACAGGTCGTTGATTCGTCGTTCCTCTGACTTTCCGGTCCTGTATATAATGGTTTCATTCAGAACGTCAAATGGGTCCTCTGTTGAGGCGTTATCTAATAAATCGGAACCCCCCGATGCGATGTCAGGAGGTAGTTTCTCGAGTACATAAGCGAAACGAGCATTCTCTGACTGGATTCTCTTAGCCTGAAATATTATCTCAGTTGCGAGAACCAAACGTGAACGTTCACCGTGTTGAAGACGGGAACTTGACCAGCACTGTAGCTCTGTCACTGACTGGAACTGCCATGTTGAGTTGCGTGAATATTCGCACGTAGTGACAAAAAATTTTGCGCGCCAAGTAGATATGCTGATTCCGGGATGTTTCTCACAATTCTCTTACTAGATTCACTGGCAAAAATTTGTGCTTCAAAATGGAGTAGCAGCGAAATATTGGTGCCTTCTTTGAATAATGGACTCCTCTTAGACCAACCAAATGTGATTTTCCTAATCACGTCGGGGTCACCAATGAAATGTGGCGGACTTCACCACATTAATTAAACTTTAGATTAGGAAACAGGGCTAACGCAGAAAAGGATAAGCCAAAGACATTGTTACACATAAAATATGTATTTAACAAGATGTACAATATCAAACAACGATGTGAAAGAAAGCATGCATTTAAGTAATAAAAGGTTGAAATAAACAAGATTTGTCTCTCTTTAACTGTAAATGATTTTTTATATATATATATATATATATATATATATATATATATATATATATATATATATATAATAATGTGTGTGTGTGTCTATCTCATTTTCATGCACTTAACACGGTAGTCCCTGATTTTATATTTTATTCAAATTAGGTTGCAATACATGGTAGGGCCAAACACAGATATAATGAATGAAATCGTGACCAAGAATGATTCTGTATATAAGCCAGCAAATCGGAGACAGTTCATTTCCTGTGCTCAGTCAACGAATAAGTAAATAAACAGATAAATAAATAAACAGATAAATAAAACAAGCAAAAACGAGTTGTGAGCCATACTTCCATAATACACTTAATTGGTGATCAGACAATCAGTTTTAAAGCATGCCATGCTGAATAATAGGTATATAATTACATCAAGTAAGAATATTCATTCGGAACAGACGACAGCTCGCAGAGGATTTAGTTTAGTTAGCATGAATCATTTTACTCCCCACTGTCTGAAGCACATTATTTAAATCGCAGAGAATCCTGTCTGGCCCAGTCTTATCTCGTACCGTCTAGTTTGAGGTCTGTTGTGAATTGTATTCGGCATTTCAGAGTTGTAATCAGACAAATATTCGAATATCAAACGTATTTTGAGTTGCCTTGCTATTGGTCATTCATTAATTATGCAGTAGAATAGAAATACCACTAAAAGCAGAGTATAACTATAACTGCAATGTAAAATGTTGTCAGTAATTCTCTGTTCGTCAGTCTCTTGAGAACTGTCCTAACAAATGATAGACTTAAATCACTGTCAAGGTTTATGGCCGTTGTAAAACATACACATTTTGCACATTTTGATTATGTTTTTGCATTTTTTTAAAAGAACTATTTTCCAACGGGCACATATATGTTTATTAAAATTCTTTTGGGTGACCAAAAACTCTACATTTTTAAATTGTCACCTATCTTGTTATATGAATTGGATGAAGAGGGAAATTTACATGATAAATGAAATAAATACTGAACTCGATAAAGTAGGTATCGACAAATGAGGCTCATAATCGGCATCTGTCGCATCCCAACCAAACTTTAAAAAATAACATTAACTCAACACTTTGAAAAGAGAAAAGAATTTCGCAAGTAGAATAATTTTATATATATTTATTATGAAGAACAACATAGCCCACAAAGAAGAAAATGAAAACATTATATATACGTTTATACAGATAGTTAAAAAAAAAAAATTATCTTCTTAGCTGTAGCATGGTTATGTGAAATTAACTACTATGTGGCTAAGTTTCCTCGAAGAGAAAGGCTGGACAAGTCTTCTGCTAAACCATATCCTGTAGAAAAAAAAACAAGAGAGAGGGAGGGAGGGAGGGAGGGAGGGAGGGAGAGTGGGCGTCCGATCCTTATACAGTCTTGAATACAACGCTACCTAGTATGCGTTTTGGAAGACAAGGTCGGGTAATTTCCAAAAGCTCATGTTGAGCTATAATGTAAAAGATTACGTCATTTGCTAATAAAAATAAATAGGATTTATTTTCTTTAATGCATATCACGGTTAAATAGGCTATGCACAATAAGAGATTTGTGAGTAACAAGAAAATTATTTTTCAGGTAGTCAGTATATTTCTAGAATAATGTCTAGAATAATTTCTAGAATAATGTCTGACAAAAACAATCGAAGATAATCTGATCACATTCAATCACTCCATCTCTGTAAGATCTTGGACAATTTCAATACCAGAAAATTTGATGTTATGCATTAGGAGGCTTGCAAGAGAAATGTTGCATCTTGAAATCTGCAATTTAATCACATGATTACTTATTTAAAAAAATCATCTTAAATGGAACAACCATAAATCTGTTCTCATAATAATAATAATAATAATAATAATAATAATGCGTTTATTAAGGAAAACGTGCTAAAATCTCTACTTTATAATCATGCTGCGAGATAAGAAGTAATAATAACTAATAGAGAATATATTCTCTCCCTAACCTTTATCAATCAAATTATCGATAATTTCAAGCACTATAAATGCAGCTTTATAAAGCGTATGGTTCACAAGAATACTTAGAGGACAAGCGCTTATTGTAATTTCAATGTGTCTGCTAGACGTCTCTCTCTCAACAAATATACTTCGACGTCATGTCACAAATAACACCTTTCATTTTTTTTTTTATAGAAAAATAGGATCCTATGCCTTAGCAACAAATATTGGTGAACATAAGAGAAAAGGCTATCACGGGATTTTCACTGATTATTGGACCACTCACAGAATCTAGCCAAAAATATCGAATTTAATTCTGAGACGCAGAACCTGTACAGAGCTGACCTATAAAAAAGCAAAAAGGAAAACTCCCTCGTGATTCGAGCCACCAACCTCCTGCACGTCCGCATGAACTCTGAACTATGATCCGCGAGTTAAGAAAACAAACACGACTCTCGTGAGAGGCATTAATACTTTTTATGTAGAACTTGGAAGAAGCGCTTTTTGACCAAGAGATAGATAGATAGATAGATAGATAGATAGATAGAGAGAGAGAGAGAGAGAGAGAGAGAGAGAGAACAATTATCTAAGGTAAATCTGATTGATTACTGATGTAGGCACACACACTCACGTTTTCCTAGTTTGAGTCTTAAGCCAAGGCTTTCCCATATATCAACTAAAAGAAGAAATGAAGCCTGATTAGAGGCCCCAGGCAGGGCTTTGTGGCCGTCGCTATCTTATCAACATTTCCTTTTTTCTATACGTTACAAATTAAACTAAATACAACTATTCTTCTTTTATGTGGCGTGCCTCTTTAGGACGTAGGCGATCATGGCTTCCCACCTCCTCCTGTCCCTTGTAGCTCTCAATAAGTTTAGCCTTTTTGTTATTTCCCCCAGACCCTGTTCTGCCATCCACTTGCTTAAGCCCGTTAAGTCACGCATCGCTTTCCCTTGTCCCTCTTTCCCTCTATCCACCCGGTGAGTATCAGATTTTCTAAGCCTTCCTTTCTCATCATGTGTGCCAGAAATTTCAGCTGCCTCTTCCTGATGTTAAGTATAAGTTTCCTCTTTGTTAACCTCCTCTCTAAAACCTCATCGTTGCTAACGTGTCCGGCCCATGGTATCCAGAATACCCTTCTGTAAACCACACCTCTGTTGCCTCGAGTCTCTCTTCCATCTTTAAGGAGACTGTCCAACATTCGCTGCCGTAAAGGAGGACATCCCAATACGTCTTCGGATTTCAGCATTGCGCTTTCCGTCCTTTGTCAGAACACTTTCCAGATATTTAAATTTCCGCACCTGCTTGATTATAGTGTCCCCTACCTGTGAACTGCATTTCGGGCTCATCTTTTTGCTGATTAACATGCATTCTGTCATGTTGTAGTTTAAAGTATGAAAGATTTTCTTAAAATTTATTTATATTTTGCTCGTGCTAAGTCTCGAAAAAACACTATATAAAATTCACTATATTTTATCCACAATGTTGAAGGTGTTAAATTATTCGACTTTTTAACAATAAAAATATCAGGTTGATGTAAAAAATGCCATAAAACTTTGTTGATTTATTTAAGATGGAACGATCTATAATAACACGTTTTTAACTTTGTATTTAGATATTTATTTTCAATTTTTGTATTTGTATTTAAATATTTATTTTCAATTTTTCTGGTTGAATTGTTTACCTATATTGCATATGATCCATCATTGTACATAATTAGGTTACAGTAAAATTTGTATTTTAAATGAATACTACCTTATGAAAATTGAGATGTAGTAGAGTGGGGGTCCTGCATCTTGGGTTCGGGAGAGGGGCGTATCATATATTGGGAGCGCGAGCCCCTTTGCCGGCCCTGTTCTAATCTAACAAATAACAGATTCCTGCTATGACGACTCAGTATTGTGGTATCTTAACACAATTTGAGTTAGAAGCTAGCCGTTTATAATTGGTTACAGTGTGTTGGTGCCATTGCTCCGGGCAATACCTTTCCTTCCGTAGTCCCCAAAAGCGAAAGTTCCGAGGTGGGGGCGGTCTTGAGCAATTTTGTCCCTAATATATATACGCGCAAGATCCTGTTTCACTTGTGGACATACGGATAAATGCCTACATACCTTAAAGTTTATACTAGGTACCTCCATAGATTCGCTAAGATATTATGATACTATGCTACAAACTTAATAAAAACAAAGTTTTATCGTTAAAATCTTTATATCAAGAGGAAAGACCAAATCATTTTTTTATTATTAAATTATATTATATTTTATTCTTTTTAAAATCTTCAGAATTTAGGTTAATTTTTTCTTGCGTCAGTGGGTGACCATAAATTAGTATGGGGAAATTTAGTGTCTTTTTGCGGTTAAAAATACGTTGATTTGGAAATTCTTGCAATAATCAAAAATTGTCGTATTTTAGAACCTATTCACAAATGAATGAAATTATTTTAGAACCGTTTCTTTTATCAGAAAATCTTGGTAAAAATATTTTTACATCTGTTACCTCCTACTTCATTTTTGTAGGGCTTAATGCTTATATTTTATTTTTGAAAGATATTTTTAATAAAAAATTGGTTGTGCTGACAGATTTGTAAATATAGTTAAAATAGCTAAAATCAGCCATTTTAGAGTGTTTAAAAAATTAATTCCAATCAATTTTAATTCGTCTTGAAATACAGTAAAAGTAGTTTTTTTGCTTATAGAAAAACATTAAGTTTTGTTTTTCTATTAGCTTGAAATTAAAACTAAAATAAAAGCTTCAAGAAAGTTATTTCATTTTTAAAAATTCATTTTAAACCTTAGATATCGTTTAACTTTGATGGTACCTACTTTATACCCTCGATGATCTCGCTGCAAGAGCAATAACGATTCATTAGATTTAATTAAACTTCGTTAGACTTCTTTTTCTTATTCATAATGCAAGCGAATTGAACTCATTCTATTTTTTCTTACGCCATAGAGTATTTATACACACACACATATATATATATATATATATATATGTGTGTGTAATATCTGAATTATATATATATATATATATATATATATATATATATATATATATATATACTAGCTTTAAAAGCCGCCTTATTGGGCAGCATTTAAACTGGCCCCTGCGGAGGACTCTTGATTGAACATTCATCACAATAGGTAGGAAGTAAATGCAATAGGCAACAATAAACTACAGAAGAACTCAAAATTGATCGCTGCATTTAAGAATTGCGTTAATATTTAAGCTTACTTTTTAGAAGTACAACGATAATTCACCTAATTTAAAGACAATTTGATGCATGTAGGTTTTTACTTTCCGGACAAACAATTATTTTTATTTCATGGGTGACTTTCGCTAGATTTCGCAATTAATTTTCGATTATTCCTATATTTATTTCCAAATTATAAAACTGTTATTGTATAAAAATATTTGTCGCAAAAAATCACGTAAAAAATCGCCGAAAACCATGGCAGTAATGAAAAATTCGGAATCCAAAAGTTCAGAATTGTGGCCCGGAATGTTTTTAATTTTTTGATTTTCATGATTCCAAAATGGTATGGTATGTTAGGCTATGGCCTCTAGGCTAGGAGTAAAAAAGTTGAAAAAAGTGTGACACACTGACATTATCATATATATATATATATATATATATATATATATATATATATATATATATATATGTGTGTGTGTGTGTGTGTGTGTGTGTGTGTTTGTAATTTACATCTTTGATTATTTTAAGTAAATCGAAAGCTTAGATTATATTAAAAAATATGGATCAATATTGTGAATTTTCTTCGTTTAACGATAATGTTATTAAACTTATCAGATGTTACGAAAAAATTTACATAAAATAATAGACAACACTTGTCTATATTATTTTTAAAAAACGTGTATAAATGAAAATATGCTGCCTAAATACAATATAATATATATATATATATATATATATATATATATATATATATATATATATATATATGCAGTACTTATTGGAAAGTGCTCAATGTCAGTGATAGAGCTAACATATTCAGTTGTATGGATATGAGTTTGTGACCCTGGCATGTACATGTAAATACAGATATATATATACACACACACACACACATATATATAAAATTCACATACTCATATATATCTATCTATAAAAATACACACACATGTGCACACAGAAATAAACAACATAATAAACTTATACATACATATATATACATAGATAGGAAGATTAGCAGATAATATAATAGCATACTAAACTAACAGTAACATTGCATTCTAATTATAAACAAGATAAAAATATCCTAAAAAATAATATATCCACCAAGATCCTAGTAAAAAAAATAAAATTAATTATATACTACACTAAATCTACTATATCTAATCATTTGTAATGACTCTTCCTCGCCCACTAACGTATTGCAGAAAACCAACATTGTTTATACATTTAAATGTCCTCTGGGAGATTGTATGGTAAAAATAATATTTATGTTGGACACACTACAACAACGTTCTCTCGGAGTCTAAGTTTTCATTTGAATAATATGTCTAACATTTCAAAACATTTACAACAACATACCTGTCCATATTCGCAATTCAGAAAAGTCCTCTTTGAAAATAACTCTATACTTTTTCGCGAAAAGAATAAACATACACTAAAAATTATTGAAGTTATATTAAAAAAATTAAACCAAACCTTAATAAAATTAATTATGCATACCCCACTATATATTATAAAATGATTATAATAGATAGGTTGAAATGCATAAGTTTACAATAATAGTTTCTCTTTTTACTACACATGTTGTAAAAAAACCATAACTTAGTTACCTTCCTTTAAACGGTTTCAGCGGTCAAGCACTGACGCAGCGTTTCTCACTCCATTTATAAAAGAATAACTTTCAGAACGGTTTTAACGGTCATGCACTGATGTAGCATTCCTCACTCCATTTGTAAAAAAATTGAACTTTCAGATAACACAACAAGCAGTATCCTCATTCACAGGTCAGCCAAAACCACTGAAAGAAAACATTACAAGAGAAGAGGTATTATAAGTGCAATATTGAAACTGAACAAGAGCAGAACTGCAGGACCTGATGGCATATCAGCAGAATTAATGAAGTAGGCACCAAATGAAATGCACAATTTCATAAGAGACATATTGAATGATGTCCTTGAACATCATGAAGAACTCGATCTGGAAAAGGGAATCTTGTCGTACTCCAGGAACCAGGAAAAAGTAAAAATCCGGTCAAAAACCTCCGACCTGTCATTCTATTATTTATAATCAGAAAGATCCTTTCAAATATAACATCGAAAAGAATAAGACCTGCATAAGATCGATACCTCTCCTATTCCCAAAGTGCCTGGGTATGTAGTCTGGACGCACTGATGGCTTGCAGCTAAGGCACAGAAGGAATAGTTGAGAATATATATCATTGGCATTGATATGTCATCGGCCTTTGATACCATAATTCGTGAGGGACTGGTAAAAATCCTTGAAAAGATTGTTGGTGATGCTGAAGTAAGGATGTGGAGACTTCTTTGTAACACAACATTAGATGTAAAGATGGAGGGAGTGCAAACAGGAAAGCAACATTAGCTCACCTCAAGGTGACGGAATAAGTAGCGTGTTTTTCAACATATACTTTGAAGACAGTCTGAGAAGAACCAGATTTAAAGCAAGAGATGACAGACGTCTAGTAGAGCACTCGTATTCTGTTAAAAGGAAAGACGAAAATATTCCAGACGAAGAAATATATACATATAGATAATACAGACTTTATATCATTATGTGAGGATGCTGAAATTTGGAATTTGAAGATAAATGAAGATAAAACATAACATACCACCATTAAAATAAGAGACAGAAATACAGAGCGATGGAGACAAGTAAAGAAAGATGGTTCAATGATGGGAGACTTTGAAGACATCATGAGAAGGAAACAGAAATCGTCAGTATGGAAAAGCTTGATAAACTATGGATAAGTGGAGACAGAATATATGAGAAGAAAATATTAAAGCTGTATAACACCTTGGTGAAACCAGTTTTAACCTACAACCTAAGGACCGTGGGGTTTAACAAAGAAAGAAGAGCAGGAGCTATACGGTTTCCACAGGCGACAACTGCGAATTCTGATAGGGAAAAAGTACCCTCATAATATCTCCAAGAACTTGTACAGCAGATGTCAAGAATTTCATTTGTCTTTGTTCATTTTGAAAGTAAGATGGAAACTTCTTGGGCATATTTTACGAATAGATCCAGAATGCCCAGCTAACAAAGCCAACAATGTTTTATTTTGAAAAGATTGAATTCAAAACGTTCAGAGGTTATCCAAGAACCACAATAGTCACAATACTGAACGGAGACATTCAAAGAACAAGGCAGAAAATCACACTTTTCCTCTGGAGAAGTTTACAATCAAGGAAGATCTGCAACAAATTCGCAAAAACTCAGAGGACATAGAAGGCTGGCAAAATATTGTTGAATACAATATCACTGAAAATGAGAGAACATGATAATTCATGACCTCAAATTGAAACAGTTTTGATGATGATAATGATGGTAACACAACAATTTGTCTCTGACAATAATGGATACTATAATATTCATTTATTATAAACAATACCCAGAGGATGACATGGATATGTCGAAAGTATTTGGTAACAAAACAAATATATATAATTAACGGCGATTTTTCTCGTCTTTCACTAATGATATCAAAAAAACTTATCAAAAAAGTATGAAAGGATTTTAACGAAAATGAGTAGACAGAATATGTCTAAACTGTACAACGAAACATGCCTTAATGAAATATATATATATATATATATATATATATATATATATATATATATATATATATATATACAAAATATTTAATACTACATATACACATACGTATGTATATATATACACGCATACATATATATACACATATATTTATGTGACGTCGTCCCCCGGTCGCAGCGCCGACTGTGACGTTCTATCCTGATCTACCACGGCACCAGTTGTGACGTCCCCAAACAGCACCAATTGTGACGTCCTCGCCGCGGCGCCAGCTGTTCGCTCCTCGCTGCTCCGTTCGGGTGTCGCTGCTCCAAACGTGACGTCCGCCTGTCGCGTCAGTCGTGTTGTCTCGTCCTGTGACGACCAACTGGCTTGGTATCGGTCGCGGCACCCAAATGTGACGTTCTAACCTTTTGGTGATTCGGGTGGGAATCTGGTTAGATTTGATATCAGCCTCGTCGTTCCCAACTCGCTTCCAACGCCTGGTTACCAAGGTAACTGCATTGATCTCCAGTCCGCCTACCCACGTTGTGAATTGATCTTAGGCAGACGAGATCAAACAGTGGTTGGGGCCGTAATGCAAACTGAGTTCAACGGGGGTGATACTACACAAATATGCATAAAATAAAATAAAATGAAAACTCAAAAGTTCAAAGTATCAAAAAAAAGGTAACAAACTTTATGTCTAGTTGTTCGATACATAGGACTGCATCTATCTCCCGACCCGTTCTGTGGATTGTGACACGTCGTTTTCCGTTAGGCAAGTTTTAACGCTTCAAGTTGTTTGCTCTCTAAGAAATTGGTGTTTCGGTGTGTCTTTGGACGAAAGTCGAAAAACTTATTTCGGTGGTCTGGTTCTAAGTCGCTCTTCAAAATAATTGTTTTTGGGTTGAAGAGGAGTCCTAAATTTGCGTGAATCTTGGTCAGCTATCTCGAGGCGACTTCAACTCTGGAAACTCAACTCTCTGCTGGAGCCTGAACTGATTTCTGCCTGTTGGGGCCTCGCTTTTATTGACGCCGACCAAAACCGGGGTGGTTCTGTTGGCGTCGGGGGGTTCCTCGATAATTCTAAATACATATCCACCTCTTTTATTTCTGGTTAGGGATTTTCCACTCTTTTCCATTTTTGGGAACCCTTCCTCACTCCCACTTTCTCACCATATCTCTGAGAGGCGTGAACTGCCCTCCCCACTTCTTCATAGCAGCTTCTCATACTTATACTCTGAATGGGGCGTCGACAGCCTTCTTCGTGCGTCACGTGATCACCACTCGGCCAATGAGGTCTTGGTCGGGTATCTCTCCTCCTCCTTCGTGCGTCACGTGATCACCACTTGACCAATGATGTCTTAGTCGGGCGTGAACAATCCGTGGCTTTGTTTCAGGGAAAAAAAATATCTTGCTTAACTAAAAAAAAATTATCTCTTCTCTTTTCCTTTTCTTCCTTTCAATCGCCGTTATCATTTTTTCTAGCCGCAACGGACAATATGACAACTCTTGTTTTACACGTGGTGTTTGTCAGGTATTTTATCGCTAATTTATCAAGATGGGTGGTATTCTTAACATGGCTTGAAAAAAAAGAAATATCCCCAAAGTTTTCAGTCAGTCTGTCGCCTCCAAGGAAGAAAGAAAAACACTTCTGGGTCCCCATTCATTTTCCTTCGGTACATATTCCTGATAACATAATTTTATTATCGCAGGCCAAAGTTGTTTCGTCGAAAAGAATTCGGTCAGCGAGACTGCTTGTGTGGGATTTAATTTTTCATAATATGTCCAAAGTCCTTTTAGTGGCCTGTTTCTCGTCACTTATCGAAATAGCATTTTCACTTGAATTTTTCCCTGGCCAGTGGTCCAGCCGTTGAAACCCCGAAGACCGCAAATCGAGGTGGATAATAAAGTAGGGATTGTTCCACCTACGTGGAACAATCCCTACTTTAGGTCCTAAAAGTCAGTTTTTTGGCTTTAAAGGCAATTTAGTCATAGAATTCATGACTTAGATTATAGTGGGTTAGGTTATCAGTTATAGTGAAGTGCATGAGTGTTGAAACAGATTAGTTTTGTGATGATGATCATCACACACATACTTACATACACAAATTCAAATTATACAACCACAAGCATTCATTGGATAATAAATCAGCACTACTGTGTAATGGACAATTTATAAATCGCAGCTATGCGACAAGTTTATAATCGCTATATTTTCATGTAGTCGGTTTCGTGCACTTTTCGGAGAATCGGATCCTAGAAGCTTTTGTGAGTCTCCCCAAAGCTACCTAGCTGATTGGTCAATGCCAACCAATCAGATTGTCTGCAAGTGAAGAATGATTCTTCATACACAGAGCTTCAGAGCCGATGATCACCTATAAAAGCAAGAAATATTCTTAGATAATTAGTGAGATTTCAGCTGCCAAACGAATACACGACAGTTGAAACCATGCGCCAATCTTCTCACTCACACCACCACTCACATGCTGAATATTCCCTACACTCACATAATGTCTTCCCTACACAGCATAACTGCTGAAAACCTTTATTACCAGAAACTATCAGAACCTTCTTTCTTTCAGTGAACTTTGGAACACAAATAACAGTTAAAGAGAGACAACTCTTGTTTTACTCAATGCATGCCTTTCTTTCACATCCTTGTTTGTACATCTTGTTAAATACAAATTTTATGTGTAATGATGTCTTTGGCTTATCCTTTTTTCTTCACGTCAGTTTGGTTTCCTAATCTAAGTTAAATTAATGTGCTGAAGTCCGCCACAGTTTGATTTGGCCTTGTTAGTTAGATAGTCCACCATAAAACAAGAAAATCAGATTGTAAAGATAAACAACAAATTTATATACTCAATTAAGGTCTCTACAAATAAAATTAGTGTATTTTGGTTGATACAAGGTCGTCAAAATGTTCGTAGTAGTCCTTGCAAGAATGAGTTTATGTGTACGTAGGCAGGAACGTATGTGTGGATGTATGTATGTATGTATGAGCGTTATCGTAGGGTAGGAATGTCTTTGAAGTAATCGCTTAGTCTTAAAATGTTCCGTTCGTTTATCAAATATAAAAAATGTGAGGGAGAAAGATAGAGATAATAATAACGATCGCTTGACGTTTGCCAAGGGACGTGTTAATACACTCGTCAACTTCTCTCTGGTGACAGGCGAACTTGCCTGTCTTTTATTTTGTTTGTGGGGCTTGAAAAGTTCATTTGGGAATTCACTTCTGGATATGATTCGGGCCTTTCCATTGGATGACGAACAAACTTCGCGTCCGCTCGCGAAAAGGTCCGTAAAAAAAATTGTTTCTGAGAATTGAAGATTATTTGAATTTTGTTATAAAAGGTTTATTAGTTTTCTATTGGTCGAAAAACATTTCGCATCAAGGTGTGAAATTTCACGAGTTTTGTTTTGGATTCGCTTTTGCGTGTGTGCTAAGCAAGGTTTGTAAATTCGAGTCTTTTTAATTTCTAACAAAATCAATGAGTCAGTGCTTAGCATTTGAATTTTAAATCTGGATCTTGTTTTGTTCACTACAAGATTGCGCCGACCAGCAGCGATCACCTGCGACGACCTGCTACGACCAACCAACCTTTCCCGTATACTATCTGTTGTAATTACTACGGGAGGTTTCGACACCGACTTCGACCAGCAATGCCTGCACTGCAACGTCCAACCATCAATACGAATTTGAACGTCTGCATCTCGACCCCAGCCGTCGACACGACCGGAACGCCTGCACCTCGACTCCAACCGTCGACACGACCGGAACGTCTGCACCTCGACTCCAACCGTCGACACGACCGGAACGTCTGCACCTCGACCCCAACCGTCGATACGACCGGAACGTCTGCACCTTGACTCCAAGCGTCGACACGACCGGAATGTCTGCACCTTGACTCCAACCGTCGACACGACTGGAACGTCTGCATCTCGACTCCAACCGTCGACACGACCGGAACGTCTCCATCTCAACTCCAACCGACGACACGACCAATCCAACCTTCGACACGACCAGTCCGACCACCATTACCATGATTGGCAGACCAATATACCCCACTGTCTCCTTCTTTATATAATAAACTTAGCATTAATCATACATATCCTCGTTCTGTTGTCCATTTTGTTTCAACTTGACATATCTCACGTCTT